CGTGAGCTGCAATGTGCTGCATGATATATAGGCTGATTTCATAACCTGCGTGTGTCTGTGTGTATGCTCATGCTCACATCTCACTTTGCTTTAAAATGAGATACTGCATCTTTACAACTCTGGAGGAAAATAACAGCCAGACTTAACAACTCAAGGAAAAATATTCTTATTTTAAGCCTCCTTCCTGGGGTTTTGAAATGAAAACCTTTATATTTCACTTTTGTCATTCATCAACAGCAGCACAATGCAAAATACACTCAAGACCCCCTTAACATTTTTCACATTATGTTAGGACAAACAAAAAATTAACCCCAAAGCATTGTTGTACTTGTTTCATTTAAGTGCCTCTTAGTGTCTCTAAGTACTCCTAATATGTAAGTGTTTATATGTATTTTTCAGGATAACCACAGGTGGGTGGGCTGCTTGAAAACCTTTAATGTGAATAATTGTCTTTGAGGTTTATGTTGGATTATACACATGTAGAATTTAGATTTGCCAAGTATAAGAGCTCATTACAGAACAGTAATCAAACTGATAAATCAGTGAAATCGTGAATGTTTTGGTGAAACTGACAAACACTATGAGCTAAGAACAGCTTCATAACCAGTAAAAAACATAAGTGAAAAGTGCAACAAAAAACATTCACTCAAACACTTTAACTTTAAACACAGGTTTCACTCAAGTCAAACTATGGCGCAATGCTGTTCTCCACCCTAAAGCCTTTAACCCTCACAGACTTAGTTGGTGTCACCTGCTGAGTGCTTGAGTACAAACACTCCAAGTGGTATAAATAGGAATGAGACAGCACTTTGCAGCAACATATCACGTTATCTTAACACCAGAACATGTTACATACAGTTATGGGTTTGGGACTTTTTATTAGGGTCCGGGCAGCTAAGCTGCCAGGACACAATTGTAATCCTAGGTATTCTTCTTCTTCTTCTTCTTCTTCTTCTTCTTCTTCTTCTTCTTCTTCTTCTTCTTCCGAGGAAATCATACTTCCCATGGGTGAAAACTCACCAAACTTTGCACAAAGGTCCAGTCTCATGCCAGATATCCTCAGCTGTAAACTCAAGCCAATAGTCCTGATGGTGGCGCTACAACAAGCGTCTAAAGTTCAAAACTTTGAAAAGCCCCAATACTGAAGAAACTTTTGTACATTTAAATATTAAAAATCAAAAATTATGAAGTTCATCACTCTGTTTTTTTTTTTTTTTTCAAAAACTGTAAAACTTCTTAAACCTATCTCCTCCAACAATTTTTGCTCAATTGACACCAAACTTGCTACAGAGCATCTTCAGACTGTCCTACAAAAACTATGTTTCTTGGGGCATCAGTGGTTTAGTGGTAGAGCAGACGCCCCATGTACAAGGCTGTTGCCGCAGCGGCCCGGGTTCGAGTCCAGCCTGTGGCCCTTTGCTGCATGTCATCCCCTCTCTCTCTCCTCCTTTCACACTTAACTGTCTTGTCCATTAAAGGCAAAAAATATCTTTAAAAAACTATGTTTCTCAGATTTTTGATTTATCAAAAATTGAGCCTACAGTCCATCAAATGACTGTAAACGGTACTGTAAAAATATACATGCAAATTCTTGCTAAATAAATCTTCAATGTTCATGAAAAAAATGACAAAATTTTGGAGTCATGGTAGATGAGGTTTGGCAAATTTCAGAATTTTGTCTCAAAAACTGAATTTTTGACAGCATTTTGAATTTTGCTCTAATGTGAACAATTGGAGTCAATGTAAAAATGGCAATTTTAAACATCAGTTTTTCACTTATGGAGCAAATCAATCATTGTTACAAACAAATTACCAACATCTCCATGCTGTCTAGATGTAATATGTGTATTTTCAGATTTTTGTTTTTGATAACTGAATTTTTTACAGTGGTTTGAAATCTGCTTTTCCATGCATGGACAGCTGCTAAACCTGCACATCTGGCTTAGTCAGTTTGTGAAGCTACACATGAATTGTCACTGACTAATTAGCTCAATGAGATAGAAATTGATTCTTAGTCTCAGAGGTTGTGAGTTCAAGCCTCAGCTGATGCAAAAGGCAGGTTGTGTTGCTAAATTCTTAAATGTCTTCCAATTCTTCTGCTTGTTGCTCAGAATTGTCTAAAAATGCCCGGACCCGACCCCTCTTCATGGCCAGACCACTCAAGGGTCAGTCCCTGTTTTGAACGTCTTGCAGGCTCAAAGATAACTAACTCAGTTTTGGTGTGAGTTCCCGAGTGTTGGAGACATTGCCTTCTCTTGAGTATAATGGAACTAGAGGGCNNNNCACACACACACACACACACACACACACACACACACACAAGGAGAGAAAACAAAATCAATTCAACAATGAGAGCCACAGTTCTTTTTAAACAGAAACATAATAATAGTAATTATTATAGTATAATAATATAAGCATTATGCATCCCAATGGATGTGAGGAAAAACAAGTCAGGCTTTCTGCATTTTAAAAGTGTAATCATACTCAGTATTAAAACCTACAAAAACTGGAATCACATCTTCTCTAGCTTTACAAATACATTTGGAAAATACAACAGCAATGTCTCTTCCCAGAAATCATGACCCTGTTTCTCAAGATAATCCACAGACCTTGTTGTGAGCAGTTTCATGTAGAACTTAATTGTCTTGTACGAAACTACACCCACCAACCATATCACCACGCAGAAGGAAGCGTGTATCCTCTCACGGATGAGAGGCTTGTGCACGTGACAGCGCGAGATGTAAACATTAGCTGTGCTATGAACTGCATACTTTTTCATTGCATTGAAAGGTCAACATTGCACCCTGAACTTTGACCCTCTTGCTTAGTTACCTTGGAGACAAAACGCCATTCACCAAGCTCTCCAGAGATCAATCTGGAGAGTTCTGCTGTTACTTTGCGATGTATGTAATTTGAACTGTTACACTGGAGATTTACATCTGCATTTCTGTCATTATTCTCATAGTTATGTCCTTCTGTTGTTGGTCATTTTTATGATTGTTTTCTTGCTTGTTTTCGCTTAATTTATTTTAACTTTTATTATTACAATTCGACTGGTCATCAGTCACTTGCACTGTTACCTACCATTACAGCGTCTGACAGCTGTCAGCAAACTGCCAAGCTGTCTTCTGTCTGTGGTTCAGTCAATGTGACATATCCTCTGCTGAGAGTCAGAATAGCCAGAAAAACATGCAGGCTTGCACACTGTAAAATCAGACTGGATGTGGTAAAACATTGTGGTATTTTTGGCATACTGCATTTAGCATATGTATTGGGACATACTAAAACTTTTCTGGCATGCTAAATAGTATGGTAGCATCCTACTCAATGAAACTTCAAGGTTAGCTAGCTCAGTGGTGATAGGTGAGCTAGCAGTAGATGGACACTTCTTCTGCATGGTGACACAGTTGACGTGTGTAGTTTGGCAGAAAGAAAATAGTTCCTACATGAAACTGCTCACAACAAGCTCTGTGAATTATCTTAAGTAACCGGGTCATGATTTCTGGAAAGAGACACTGCTGTTGAGTTTTTCAAATATATATTTTTGGCTCGTTGAGCTCAACAAGCCGAGTGCCATCTAATCCCATTATATTTTAGAGAAGGCAGACATCTCTACGGCCTATATCTCTAGCACTCTGCAACTTACACCAAAACAATGTAGACTGATAAATAGCACCACAGGTAAGAGGAAAAATTATGTGTTTTTTATTTTGTGGCAAACTGTCCGTTTAATGTAGTGTTTCTATGTAAATTTAGGAAAAACCAGGGCACCCAATATGCCAGGCTGAACACCCTTGTGCCAGTCCTTATTGTTTACGGTTTGTTTTGGGGTTGTTGTTTTTTTTAACACTGGTAACCTGCCATTTAACATCAAAACACTATGAATTGTGGGTTATTCCCACATATTTGACCTTTATAATGAAGATAACACAGCCTATATAGTAGTCTAAATTAGCTTATCAATATTACTCATACTTATTTATGTGTTTTTGGCTCCTCTGCAGTGTGCTATTTATGATTATTCGGTACTTTAACTTTGCAGCGATGGTAGTGAATGCAAATGAATCAGTACACATGCTGTAACATTTCTATTCAGTGTATAGGCTATACATTTTTACCACTGGAGAATGGGATCATTTCTTTAGGCCTACAACAATGATAAATGACAATTTAAAAAAAAAAAAGACTGTTATTCATTTCCATGTAATTTTTTGTCAAAGCCCCATGAAGCCACTGGAGAGGGGGTAAAGAGCCGCACCTCTGGCTCCAGATGTGCAGGTTGCCCACCCTGACACTAACCTGTCTGACTTAACAGGAGTCAAGGGTCAAAACCTCAAATAGTGACAGGTAATTCAATGAAATCCTGTTAGCCTCTTCACCATTAAGGACAATGGGACATGCAGTAACCTGTATTTTATGTACACATGATGCTTCACCATAACAACACGTACAGAAGTAACAACCAAGCATCATTTTTCTCAGAAGCATCACAGCTATCGACGGGTTGACTGATTACAAGATACACCAATCAGTGTGTGTGCAAGCCTCACTTACATAGAAATGCTGTAAGCAGTAATTCTGTGAAGAAATGTAACTTCATGCATGGAGACCCCAGATAAGACAAATCCATTATGAGGTTAAAAAAAAGAGAGAGAGAGAGATGGGAGATAATGTGTTTCAATTATGAGGATGTTCTTTTTGCTTGTTGACTCACTCTGCTCTGATCATTTCAAAGAAAACAACAATGAAAATAATAACTAGATAAATCTCCTCTCTGTCTGGTGGGAAGGTTTTTTTTGTTTTGTTTTAAACATGACACAAAGGGACCGGAGGAAAACAAAATGGAAATTTCTAATATCAATGTTTCATCAATGCCGACTTTAGCCGGATGTGTTGAAAGAATCTATAATAAATTAAATGTGTTTTAGATCCCAGCCTCTTTGGATGCAACAGACAAAAGCAGAGCTGTGAAGATAAAAGAGACAGACAATGCAAAGATACATTTTCTGATTATTCTTTATTTCCTCCCTGATATCTTTGATGCTGATGGCATCTCAGAGAATTATGACTATTAGTTTTAATTCTGTACAACCTCGCAAAACCAACAAAGTGTTTCTGCATTTCAATGTGATAATTAAAGTGAAGGCAGTGTGTGTGGAAAAAAAAAAAAGAGTCCCGTGAACTCCTGCTTCAGAGCTCAGAGAGAAACTGACTGATGAAAACAAAATCCCTTTGATTAACTCCATTTCTGAACTCATCACTTTGAGTGCTTTCACCTTAGAGTCTTGTGTTTAGGGATTTTAACAGTAAACAGAATAATTAACACAGTGTAAAAATGGCACTGCTCGAGTGTTCTGTACGACAAGCAGATGGCACAAACAAAATACTGAAACAATGAGGTGACCACAACAGTGTAATGATCAAAAATATTCACCACAAACTTGATTTAATCTGTCAAAGCCTTGAAAGACGTTACAAGGAAGCTGTTTGTCTTTGAGGCAATGCAAATGGAAACTATTACAGATCTGCAAAGAGCTGTTTGTGATGTGGTTACCAATATGCAAGGCTAATTTATAAAATGTCAGATAATGGCCACTTATGTGTTCCATTTAGGAACAGTCTCTTAAAGGTCAGTTTGGAAAAATTACCATTACAATTATCCACAGCCAGAGGTGCCGTCTTCAAATCGCCTGTTTGTCCAACATGCAGCCCAGAACCCAACGATATGAAGCTTATGTTGATATAAAAAGAGAAAAGCAGCACATTTTCCAAACTATGAAGTTATAATCTGCATATTGGGGGCTGCATGTTTACTTAATAAATGATTAATCACTTATCAAAATAGTTTCCAATTATTCTCCTGCAGATTGGTTCATCTATTATTTGACTAATGGTTGCAGCTGCCCTGTCAACTTCATGTTGGTCTCAAGGGAAAACTGTGCATCTGCATTGCCTCAAAAATGTGAGAAGGGTCCAGTGGTGGACAGGCCACACCTCTTTTTAAACCAGAATTAATCTAGGGTTGGCCTGACTTTCACTTTCGCTGGCAAGCTTGTTAACAGATGGTAACTGATAATCCTGCACAGTATACCTTTGACCAATAGCTCTGTGGCTGTGCAGTGTATGGATGTATTATAAGAACAGTGCTGTTGTGGCTCGTTAATGTTTGCTGACCCACCTTACTCTGCCTCTGATTGGCTTCCCCCTGACATTCTTACCTTTACACTCCTCTTGCCTAAACCTAATCAATGCAACCAACAAAGGCAACAAGTACTAGCCAATCAGAGGGAGAGTAGAGCCGGTCACATGTTAGATAATGTTGGTTGAAATGGTAGCGAAGATGGGGTATGTTATCCTGAAGTTCACAGTGGCTAGCTAACGTTAGCTAAGATGCTAGCTAGGATAAGCTGGGGAGGACTATGAGTTGTGGCGGGGTCGCCACCAGATATGCTTGGAAATCGTTGACAGGATCAGAATTTTAAGGTAGAAACAGCTATGAGAAACACTGAATAAGTTTACACTTCTTTGTATGCCACTTTGTCTCCATTTTAACTATCACACAGGTTTTATGCTCCTTTTTCACGGCTGATTCTTCCCCTTCGCCAATTAAAGACTGTCTCTCCCTCTTAGCGGCTGCACGTTTCAGCACATCTGTAACTGCAGTCTGGTAAAGAGGATCTTTACAACTGTTTGGCACGCCACATGAAAGCAAAAAACAGGTGCACAATGAGGAGTGCTTACACAGCAACACGACACTGAACGACGACGAGTGATGTGGTGAAGATGGCACATTTCTTTGAGTGAAGCTCGGAAGACATAAACAGGCATTTAAATATCTTTAGAGCTCAAAATCTAAGGAGACAAACAGGTATATGCAACACTTACATCTTCACTGGCAGATGAAACATAAAAACAGAATACAACTGACTGCAGATCAACAGAGAAAACTGAAAACCCAACTTTTTTTTTACAACTGCTCAACAGGACCAAACAGGTCATTCAGGTCTGTATTATAGCATTAAGCTAGTATGTTAAGTCCTATATAACTGATTTTGTGTAACTGCTCTGAGGTGCTCATATTCTCAAAAAGTGGGGGTTATTTGTCAAAACCTTAAACTGTCAATAAAGTTATCTTAAGTTGAACTGTAGCCTTTTGACAAGTAACACATTTATTAAGACTATTAAACACAAATTTATGCATCTCACAGAATACTTTTTTTTTTTTTTTAATTTTGGGATTTTAAAATGAATCCACTGAATTGAAAACCAGATATAAGATGTTTTCTTCTTAACCTTCTGCTTGTTTTGTGACATAATCTTGACAGCCAGGGACTGAGAAAATCTGATCCAGCTGTGCTGTGAGTTAAAGTTAAAATATACATCTTTTTTAAACTTTTTTTCTTATTTTATTGCTTAGGAATCAAGTTTTATACATTTTCTCTCTCTTTCCCCTCAACTCAAAAAACTGAAGGTCTGTCATAGTGGTATGATCAAAGTAAAAATGGGGAGACGCCTTTTTAAACACCAACCCAGAAAAACTATACTTTTGACACTACCATTATCTGAATAGCTTCAAGTCAGAAGTTTTATAGAGGTTATAAAAGTGGTGCAGAAGCTCAACTGCTCATAAATGCTGTTTTAAAGACACTGTTTCTGTCCGGGTGAGCCAACCGAAGAAAGAATTTTGAATTAAATAATAGACAAGGTGCTTTAGAGGAGAATTTGGAGACCTATACTTTGATTTTATTCCAACTCAAACAGCACCTGAGCAATGATATGTGTATATTACTGTTCGGCAGTGGAGAACAGTTTGGTCAGGACAAAAGTGTCCACTTTGGCCCAAGAGTTCAGTAGTGTGAAGAGACTGCTGAAGATGAAGATTGATCCGTAGAGAAAACCTTAAAATCATCTGCGACATCAAGTCTTAACCCAACAGTCAGAGACGAAGATTTTCTGAATCTGTTTATCCCGTTACATCAGCGGATATTTTATGACATTTCACTGGTAATGAGCCCTCCCAAAGCAGCAACGGCCGCACTGTCAGCCTGCACTCAGACGTCTTATAATAACAGTCCCACTGCACACATTCCCCCCAAAAAATCCAGCAGCTGCTACTGCTGAAGTGCCTTGAAATATTTGATTATCCTCCCTCAAGCACCTCTCATCAACAGCTACAATGGAAGTCTGCTGACACATTTGCAGGCATTTAATTGTCTTGAAACATCACACGCCCACTCCCAGACAGCTGCTGCCACCCAGGAAAGCTGCACTGAGATATTTCATCGAGTATTATTATCACACAGGTGGGAAACACCAGCCCGGCCCGGTTTTCTTTTGGGAGGAAGGGTGGTGAAGCTCCTTGGCCATGCAGACCACATAATGTCCACTGAAGGTCCTATTCTGTCCTGGCCAAGTTGCTGAAATAGTGAAGGTGGCTGCAGCGAGACATCTAAGAGTGTTTAATCGCCCTGTATAGACTCTTGCTGTGGCAGCCTGATCTAAAACATTTCATTAATCTTCCTGAAGGCTGCCTGCCCCCTGGTCAGCGACAGCCACAGTGGGAGTGTACTCAGCAACATTTCATCATGTTTTCCCACCCTGACCGCACCTCTCCAGGCAGTCAAAGTCATAATGAAATCCAACCTGAGACATTTCATTACAATTTTGCCTCCTTCTCCGAAACCTGAGTGCTGAAACTGAGCAGGAAAGGGGGTTTATGAAGCAGCTGTGTGACTGTTGGGTCACAAATCTTTAAACTTGAGCAGATCAGGATGTAAATATCAAAGGAAGCTCTTGTCCTGCCCTCGTCAGCTGCTTTTGAGGTGAGAAAAAAAAGCACTGCATGCTTGAGTGGAGCTACTCAGTGGCCATTAGAAGAGAAGTAGCATCTTCAATGAAAAGTCTGTTGATCCCCACAAGTGTGCCTAAGGGAAATAAACATTTAAGGGGAAAATGTGGCAACTTGAAAGTCTAAACTGGAGCATTTCACTTCATCTCAACAAGCTTGGTTTCTCTCATATCAGCGACATCCGCAGTGGAAGTCTGCGTTGGGGTCCTTCAGGAGCTTTTTGCGGTCGACGTGCAGACAGTCTATGTGGTACCAGGCGTCGCACACATCGCACTGGATCCATTGCACCGTGTCCTGTTGGGGCAGTCGGCAACGTGGCGCTGCGCACGGCTCCACCGCCCCGCCGGTCGCCTCGTCTTCCTCCTCCTCTTCGTCATCGTCTTCATCCTCAGAGGAGGAAGAGGAGGAGCCAGAAGAAGAAGAGGCAGAGGAGGTGGAAGAGGAAGATGAGGAGGATGGAGAAGGCAGAGAGGGCCGGGGAGGAAGGGGGTGTTTTCTGGGGCGGCCTCGTCGCTTACTGCGAGGAGAGGAAGAGGAGAGAAGGATGAAGCAGTGAGATCAGGGAGGAAAGCTTTAGGACAAGCTATTGCTTTAAGGAATAATTTGCTGATTTCCTACAAGCTTTGTAAAATAATAATGTGGGTAGTATGTGTAACTGAACTGTGGTAACCTTCATCTTGCCAGCACTGAGAACTCCCAGCTCATTTACCAGCAAAAATGTGGCGGATGACACAAAATGGATTTTCATTGGCTCTTGGGCTCTTGCTCACACTACAGATTATACTTCATTTTTTATGCCTACCGCCACGGACACAAAGACTGTAGAAGCAGGTTGCGAGAGAGGGCCACCCCCCCCCTCTCAGATCTAACTGTAAAACTTGGCTTTGCTGATCAAACATAAACCCAGATTTAGTTACTGCTTTGCCTATTTCTTTCCTAAAATGTCTTCAAAAAAATATTTTAGTGCACTGTTTGGCTGTAATACAAGAGTTTGTGAACAGGAAGTGGGTGCGAAGATTCTGTGACTGCCTTCTGTTATTTCTCATTCTTTTTCTCATTCATTTCAATTCTACAGATAAACAGAGGGGTTGGTCAGTTACCTTGCTGGATGGTGAAATCTGTTGAACTGCATCCTGCCTCTCTCCTCTGTTCGAATCCTCACTGATGGCGAGGCCAGGCTGTAGTTCTCCCCTCCAACCACCAGAGGGGAGAAGACCGGAGAGCTGTTAGCCCTCCGCCTGCCTCTTTGCGCTATCGGAGAACTGTGGGCCGGTTTCTGTTGGCGGAAACCTGCAAGGTTGCCGTGCATCACCGTCTGGACCCGGTGCATCGTCTGCATTTCCTGTTTATGAACGGCAGGGTTGGTGAATTGTGCCTGGATGAGATGGTGGTTGAGTCTGCTGTTTGTCATGGCACCGTGGAAACTGCCGATGGTCCTGATGCCGACGGGAAAGGGCTTGGCCTCCAGTGGCCGCCGGACGTCGTCGTGGCTCTTGGGCTGCAGCGGCAGAGGAGGAGAGCTGAAACTCTCAGACTCAGACTTGTAGAGCCGCCGCCGCTTCTTCCCCCTCGATCTCTGTCCATCCTCCACAACTCCTGCTGGAGCTAAACCACACAAAATGAGAATATTTCAATAGAAGCAGCAATCAAAGCTATCCATCTCCATTTTCCTCTTCTACATACGCCTTCTTTAACTGACCTGGCTTCAGTAATAAAAATATGTTTAAAAGCTGCCAAAAAACACATATTCTTATAAAAAAACTGCAGCCTCCAATATTTGCAGAAAGGTCAGTACGTCCGCAGCGGTTTTATTTGAGCATTATGTTAAGCCTCACCTCCTCGACTTCTGGGCTCGTCTGAGCTGTCATCCTCAAGGAGGACTGTGTGAGCAGACTTCCTCCTGCTCCGTGAGGTTGGCTGGAGGGACTTTGCAGAAGGCACTGAAGCTGCAGAGGAGAATGACGGAGGCGTGGAGGGCGGGAGCAGAGAGGATAAACCCACAGCCAGGGGAGGCGAGGAGGAGGAGCCAGGGTCCGAGGCAGTTCCCTCGTGGCTGTGGCTCCTCTTAAAGGTCCAGGCGCTGCCCTTCATCTTGCTCAGACTGCCGATGGAGTTGAGGATGACGGTGGCCCGGTTGATGGACAGCTTGGACAGGTCCAGGTTGGCGGCCACCTTGCGGTCAAGGTTAGTTCTGATCCGATTCTGTATGTCGGAGGAGAAGGTGCCCGCCTGGGAGGCAAGATATATAAATTAGAAAATTATCTAGTAAAGGTCGAATGTAAATATCCATCAGGTGCTTGCGTGGCTTGGCAGATTTACTTTTCAAAGACAGATGGCGAAGTTTAAGATAAAAACATTTGCATCACTAATGTATTTTTGTCCATTTCTGTTTAGTTTCTACACTTCATGAATGTGCAAGTTTCTAATTAAAGTAAAAATCAGAGAGCACCTGATTCTATCTTAAAAATAGCACAGAAAGAATTTTGTCCATGATTTTAAATGTTCACATGCTGCCTGGTGGACACCTTAACCAAAGTGCCTTATAGTCACACTGCCTGCACACTATGGTGACGCATGAGTGGGAGGGAATCTGAAAGACAAGGATGGTATCATTCTACATTATTCTCTTCATCACCATTAAATCTCATTAAAACACCAAAACCAACAATGTGTTGGTGCATTTCTGAATTCTTTACCACTTACTACCCAAGCACATGGCCAGTCCATTGGTTTCTGCAGAAGACATAGATCTCTAACTCTGTATATTTTAGGTTACCAACTGATTTACGTCAGGACTACCAAGTACCGATTCATGTTAAATCAAGCGATGCCAAATTGGGTGGCATCTGGGTGCACCATGTTCTGGCTGCGAGGTGGCTACCAGAGGTGCTCTCAGCCACTCCAGGACAGAACACAACCAGGTCATAGCCAGAATGTGGGGCAGTGGTGCCAGGTGGAAAAACATCCATGTTTGGACCGTAAGCATAGGCCTCTGAGGGCTTTTCACTTGCAAGTCTAAAGCCATGTTCACACTGGGTGCTGAAACGCCCTGATATGTCAATGGACGCGCAGCCGTCCGTCGACAGTTGCCTGGATGTTTACACCAGAGGCATATTGCTCTGCGCTAGTCAGCAAACTTTCTGCTCCTCTGCTCTTCTCTAATCCCATTTAGAGCTCCATCTCTGTTTGCTCTGTGTGTTTTGTCTGTCTGCTTGTCTCTCTGGCTCTCTGTTTCAACAGAAGTGACAAATATGTGCAAGTATGGGGTGCATATTTTATCATTTATCATAATCAAATTACTTAAATCATATCTAATGTATTCTTTATATCATTCATAATAGATGATCAGTGTGTTTTCCAGCCAGATTTGCATGCAGCTCGCACAAAAAATAGACCACATGCCGAAACTAATGCTGTAGATCACAAGCTGGCTGGGGAGCTTGGGGCCAGAGCGTGTCCTGTATAAACAGCCCAACTGGTTAACATGGGCACCGAATGGCCGTGCGCAGTGCTCCGTGGAAAATCGATGCCCTTCATGGTGCTTCCACCTCCAGTGTGAACCTGGCGTCGTCACGCAACAGATATGCTCTCATTTTTATCGATGCAGCTGTCTGCACCAGCTTTGTGCCAGATTGCGTCTCAGCTGCATCTCATGGCTTTGAGCGTTTAAGTTTGTTTTATTTTCAACAAAAAGGTGCGTATGCATGGTTGATGCCCAATAAAAAAGGCACTAAAATCTACATTATGCAGCCAAGGCAGAGCAGAGTGTGCTGTCCCTGGGCAAAGCTGGAGACCAGCATACTCTGGTCAAGAGATTCTCCGGCACTTCTGCCCAGCAGCCGGAGGTTTGGATTTTAGTACCAAAAAACAGTACCAGTGAGTCCTGGTGCAGAATTGCAGGTACCGGTATCATTTTAAATGTCAAATGGCTGTGTTATAAAAAAAAACAAAGAATATCACCAGGGTTGTCTTTTTCCCTATGAGATGTGCCATCACTTAAAGAGTTACTAAAGACTGAACAAAACTTAATTGCACATCATCACCTTGCCAAGAATCTAAGTTTGCCTTGAGGGAAAACATGCCTGCTATTTTCAATATGCATCGAAAGTCATTATCCCAGCTCTTCATACAGCCACTATATTACAATGTATTATCTTAGGCGGACTATGTGACATTGTGGTCATATTGGAAAAACTTACATTGATGAACCCTACTGGCAATAACTTTCAGAAAGCATAGAGAAAAAGCCCAGACTTGTCGTTTAACCTCAAACTTTGTGAGATACACAGGCCCCCAACAGCTTTGTGGAAAATTGCAATCTATGACTAAATCTGTGCAGTATATGAAGCATCCTTATAAATCTGTACAGTGCACTGAAGGTGCACAGAATATGGACAACAAAGAGATGAGTATCTCAGCTGAATAGGTGCTTAATAATAAAAACAAAAATTACCTTTGGAATTGTGATGGCATCGAAGTCAAGCGGGCGAACTTTAACCTTCTGGAAGAGGAAATAGAATTCGGGGCTCCCTGGAGCGGACTGGCCACCGAAGGTCAGCGTGTCGCCATCTGAGAGCTCCCATTGGACACCTGGCTGGAGACGGACCTCGTTGACCCAGGTGCCTAGCAACGTGAGAGCAAGAGGAGGTTAGGATTTTATTTTCTAATTGAAAGCTATTGCTGACACTGAATCTCGCTCCTTAGAGACTCATCCAGCCACACTGACATAGAAGTGGTGGGACACAAACAAGCTACAGTTTTGCAGTTGAGGGCGATGTTACCTGGGGCCAGATCATCACACAACTTTTTTTAATATATGAACGTCTGACAACCGAGAAAGAATAAATCAAGAGCCTCCAAATAAAGTCATTTGTTGACTATCAATGTGTTTACAGCTTCCAGAGTTGAGGGGAAATGTAAAACTGTCTGTGAAATGGACCTAGAATTGAGGAGCTGGAAGGCTACAAGGCAATCAAATGGCCACGACAGCACGGCACAAAATGAGAAATGTGCAGTGAATACTAAGATGTAATTTTAATAGCAGAAATGAAAAATGTGTGAAACAGACTGTGAAATTACTTGAAAAATTAGGGAGTAAGAGCGCAGTTTAGATTCGGAGCCTGTCAGACACAGTCCAGTGGCCTTAAGCGAAGACGCAGCCTTCACTCTCAGTCTCCTACTTCCTCACCTTGTACTACTTCCTGTGCTCTTCAGGTTTAACTTAAGACCATACGCAAACTGAGGTAGAAAGACGCAGTATCTCTGACGTCCCTGTATATATGATGAAAGGCTGTTCCCCTCTTGTGTCAGACACCTACATACTGACATCACATCAGCTGTTAGTGCTCCTTGATCTAGAATTGAACAAGTTGCGCCTCATTACTCCTATTGTTCATTTGCTCCTCTTTAATCCCTCTCGGCACTCACTGAGTACAGATCCATTTTATGCTCTCAGTTGTCAACGACCACTTTAGACTGAATGAACAAGACTTGGCTGATTTTCTTAATACCTACACATTTCAAAGTTACTATATGTCACATGTGTAATTATGTCTTCATCCATAGCTAAATAAAAACTGTCTTAACTCATGTATCTACACCATCTGTCTTTTTGTAGATTTTATGGTTCATCGTGTCATCTTTATTCATTTCAAGTGAGGCTGCAATGAACAGTTTTTCTCATTATTAAATAATCTGCGATTATTTTCTGAATAAATCAATCAAGTTGTTTGTTTTGTGTGACCAACAGTCCAAAATTCAAAGAGATTTAAAGGATAACTTTGGTATTTTTCAACCTGGCCCCTATTTTCCAGTGTTTTTGTGTCTAAGTGATTAATGGGAACAACAGTTCTTTGAGCACTGAAGCTACTTAACAGGGTGCAATGTAACCACTCAGGGCATTTGTGCACCGTCAATGTACGTCCACTAAAAGTGCTTGATTTTGGCACTGACAGGCTCAGATTATTATTCTAAGTGTCTGACAACATTATTGAAAGGATTCCTACAAAGATGGACCTTTTTGGTGAAGAGTAAAATCCCTTTTGTTTAACCAGAAACAGCCCAAAACTCGCTATTGGCAAACCCACCAGACTATTTAAATAAACAGTAATTTTAGCGTGTATATAGCCAGCATATTTTCACTTCTAACTGGGTGAATTAAAGGATGGAAAGGGTGGATTTAGGGGGATATGTTGGCAGAAATGTAATGTAATATAATATGTACGTGTTCCTTCGTGTATAATCACCAGAAAATAAGACCCATCGTGTTTTACGTTACCTTCAAATGAGCTGTTTATTTCTACATAAGGAGCGGGTCCTTATCTGCAGAGATCGCCATGTTGCCCCGCCATGTTTCTACAGCAGCCCAGGACTGACAAACCAAACTCTGGCTCTAGATGGGGCCATTCGCGCTTTTTTGTTTTGTTTTGTTTTGTTTATATGTGTCATAGTTAGCATCTCATTAAGTACTGGACCAATTTCAAAACTTTTTCATCCCATTCCTCACTTAGACACAAAAAAAGGGTTAAAAATGCAGAGTTACATTTTAATGTACAACTACACCACTGACACCACTGAACAAAGAAAAGCAGGAAATCTCTGTTGATACAGCAGTTGAACTAGAAAGTATTTGACTGACAAAAATGACTGAAACTTTTTTTTTTTCTAAATAGCTGTAAATTCATTTTCTGTAAATCAACGAGGGAATTTATCAACTAATTGTTTCAGCTCTACTTTTAGGCATCAAGTTTCTTTGATATAGCTGCTGTCCAACTGGTATTTGAACAATTTAGCCTACTACTCAGTCTCTCACCCTTATGGTTAGGACACTATTTTAATATTAATATTCTATTTATTTTTTCAGCATGTTAATAACAAATATAATCATTTTGATCACAGGCATCCTGGCAATGAAGTAAAGGAAAAAACTAAATGAATGGACCAATGCACATGCATCAAACAGGACACAAGACTTCACTAAACAGTTAGACAAATATGAAAATGGTGTGAATCATATGCTACAGCCTTCACAGTCACCTGACCTGAAGCTAACTGAATACCAGTGGGGGATTTTGGACAGATGTATGCTCTCAAAAACCATAATCAAAACACCAAATGAGGGAATATGTTTTGGCAGAATGCCGTCTCTATGCCATGGAGCATTGAACCAGCTCTAGAAGCTGGCTGTGGTCCAAAACCTCTCTAATACACTCTATGTTGGTTTTTTCAGTTCAGAAGACATAAATCAGAGTCAAAGATCAGGAAAAGTTGAGGCTCTTGAGGGTTCAACGCTAATGTCTTTTTTTACACATACCCAATTTTTACTTGCAATGATACAAATTGTTTTATTTATTAGCAGTTATAAATAACAACAAATCTAAAGTTAATTTTCGTGTTTACTCTTAACTAAAGTAAAAACTTAAGTTCCAACTGAACTCCTGGTCGCTTGCTCTTCAGCTCATTACTAAGGATAGACCGATACATTGGCTGGCCGATATATCGGGCCGATATTTGAGTTTTTTACTTGTATCGGCATCGGCCGATACGCGCGTGGGTTCGCGGATTTATTTTTCCCTGGCACTTTTTTTCATTTGAAAGTATGTGGTTAAGTTGAACAAAGCTGTTGAATCCTACTGTGTACAGTAGTTGTTGTTTTATTTATGCTTCAGCTTAAATATTTGTTTATTTTATAAAGACATTACTGGAAGATTTAAGAGCACTGAACTCTTTTTTTTATTTGAATGTATAACAATAATAATAATAATAATAATAATAATATTCTACCTGTTCTACCTCAACTTTCCATCTTGTTTTAGTATTTATTACTGTTCAATAAATGTTTCTTATTTTAAACTTGAGACCTGGAATATTTGTTATCATTGTGTCATTTTTTTGTTATATAAATTGAGGGAGCAAAAGCAGTATCGGCCCCAAATATCGGCTCCAGAAAATCGGCAGTCCATAATCCGTCATCAGCTAAGGGTGATGGAAAAAAATCGGTATCGGCATCGGCCCTAAAAAATCCATATCGGTCTATCCCTAGTTTTTACTAACACCATCTTTCTGCAAGCGCCTAATTGGTACTGCGCATGTGCAACTTTCAGCAGAGGTGAAAAGGTAGCAAGATAGCTCAGTTACCTCCATAATCAGCTCCAGAAAAAACAAAACAATGTATTCTAGTCTTTTCATACCACTTTCCCAATTGGGTAAGTGGGTTGCTAGATTTACCAGTCTGACACGGCATATTACTTGCCCCAGGCAGTCAGGTAATCCTCATTGTTGAGCCCTGCTCTTTAATCACTTTATCACGATCAAACTCCAATTTAGGTGATTTTTGTGTAATGAATCAAACTGGGAGGATCAAATGTTTCTCAGTAGGCTGCAGCTCTAAACCACTTCGAGAAAATAAAAGTGCTGGCAGGAGAGATAATTGAAAAGTTTTTAAAATTGAGGTTTCTGAGAAGCATTTAGCTCCTAATGTGTTTGTGTGCATCTGAGGCTTCACCTCATGTGTATGTGTTCAGCTGTGTTTGGGCAGTTAATCGCTGTGTATGTGTTGAGGCTCAGCTGCTGTCAGGCTGCAGGTGTTAGTAATTCAGCCGAAAACAGTATGTGTGTGTTTTTTAGAGTCTATTATATTTAGTATCTGTATTCCTGTCAATCCAAATGTGTGTGTGGGCCCAGTTTTCTATTAAACCTGCAATTTTATTCCTCTTGCACAAGCAGTGTGTGTGTGTGTGTGTGTGTGTACTCCATGAATAAACAATAAAAGGAAGTGTATGGTGTCTGTGAGAGTGTGTTTTCCTATAGAAGCACTGATACTTCTTGTAAGTGGGTGTGTATCTTCGCCTCTTTCTCTCTTCCACAATGACTGTAGAGTGTGTGAGTGTGAGTGTGTGTGTGTCTCAATCCTTCTCTCACCATGACTGCTTCTGTCCTTGATGTGGACAATCCAGCCCTCCTCCTGCGGCACTGCGTCACCTTCACCCGCCTCCCTCTCTGCGTGCAGCTCAGCGTGGATTCGTGACACCGACGTCGAGTCCAGCGTGACATCACACAGCTCCGCTGCCCGCCCCAGTCGGAACACAGAGTGGCTCAGCGCCGGCCTGAATGTGTACAGGTCCCGTGCCGAGTCGCCAGCCGACGAACCGATCCGAAGCAACTGGAAGCATGGCTGCACCCCGGAGAGCATGACTGAAGGGTTTGATTGTCTGCCACCTCTAAGCCCTCACCTGCCCCCACCCAGAGGCCACACCCTATCTGTGACAGGCCCTGAGTTACAGAACGCTGCGATCCATTGTGGGATACAACTCGTCACTAGTGGAAAGAAGTTAAATTGAAGGCATTTGACCAAAGAGTGCTGACTGTAAACATGAAGCTAAACTGCAAGATAAAATATTCTAAACAGAGGCTTGAAAGCACTGAGTGTGAAGGTTACAAGCAGGTGCAGCAACAGGTGTTTGCATTAGTATGGAGAGCTGATGACTTGTTGTGCCCTGCTGTGAATACATGAATAAATAATGAGGATATGGAGCACTGTATAAGCTGTTGAAGGGTGGAAATGAGCCTCTGCACTCTGCTATGAGCTCAAACTCAAACGGACTAAATCCCCCGTGGAGTGGAGGCTATAAGAAGATGGATTTGAGAAGAAAGACTTTCAGTAATGTGGACAGCCTGTGTGTTACTGTGCTGCTAAATCGAAAGGTGCGGTAAACATTAAAACTGTGAAAAGGTAAACCTGCCAAAAAACCTGACAGCCGTGACTTTTAGCTGGAGCTCTGATGTTTAATATTTTCAGGTTTGAACAGCTGTCACCCGAGTCTGTGTGTGTGTGTGTGTGTGTGTGTGTGTGTGTGTGTGTGTGTGTGTGAGAGAGAGAAAGAGATTAAAATCCAAGGCTCCTGACATCAATTGACATCAGCAGTCTCACAGGTGGGGAGCCTGACAGGGTGTAACGGCTGAGGTCTGTCTGATCTGCAAGAAAACAAAAAGAAAAATCTTTGAAATTAAAAAAAAAGCTTAATTGCCGTACTTAGTGTCTGAAAAACAGCGTTATAAATATACTTTACTTGACACTTTAGACAACATGAAGGCACAATACACGTTCTATCACAAGCTCCCGTTATAAATTAAACTAATGTCACACTGAAGCAGCAACATACAGATGCTACATTTACAACAGAACATTAAAACTGTCATCTTCACTTGATGAGCTTTAGCTAGCTGCAGTGTGCACCGCATGCCGTGCATCAGCTGCACGTAGACAAATCATGGGATCACCACACAAAGCAAGAAACAATAACCAACAGAAATTAGCGGCTTGTCAGGTCAAACCTCGTTTTAAGAACCAAAACTGCATCTACCCTTGTGTAATATATATATTTACTGAAATATGCGTTGGTTAACGTTAAGATAAGAGCTATAATGCTATACTGCAGTCATGGTGTTAAGCCAGTCAGACAGGATTGAGCTAGCTGACGTTAGTTCCTTGTAGGACAGACTGAAAGTCAAAGCTGCCACTTACAACAATGTCACACCGACTTTATGTGAATATATCCTCAACCCGCCGACGACAGAACGCCGTCGACTGCTCCGCACGCTTATTAAGCTCCGAAAACTGAAATAATTTGTATTGTTTCTGCAGGGTTTTATCGCCGTAATCGCCAGGGTTCCGTGCGGCTTTTCGCCTTCTTTCCTCCCAGGAGGAAGTCCTTTGAAATTTGGCGCGCCAGTCCCTGGGCTTCCTTGCGCGAGAACCCGCGTCATGTCCTGCTCCGCCCCGATTGGCTGACGGCCAGGGCGCCTTCAGCGAGAGCAGGACGGACCTCTGTGAGGGAGAAGTGGGACACAAAGGCAAAGGGTGTCACTGGGACTGAATAGTCTAATGCAGGCTAGGAATCATCTTCCTGAATGGAGTTTATGTCGCAGGCTGGTTCACTGAGAGCAGTGTCACATTAATAGTTTAAAGTTTAACCTTTTGAAACCTGAGCAAATTGGCTGAATTTACTTTAAAAACATGGGGAGAAAGCAATGAGCAATGAAAGAAGAAATGACCCAAAAGAAATGCAAGAAATTTGTAAAATGAGAAAATTATTGGGAAAAAAGAGAGCTCAAAACAAACAAAGGAACTGACCTTAAAGTAGTGCTTAAAAAGATATAATAATTCTGCAACATAAAATTTAAATGTAAAATAATAATGATAGTAATAATAATAAACATATTTTTTCACTAGCTTTCTTTCCCCCTATTTTTTAAAAAAAAAATTCTAAATATCTTTTTTGCAATTTGTGGGACATTTCTTACCAAGTTGCTTATTGCCTTTTTTCTTGTGTTTTTGAAAGAAATCACACCAATTTGCTCAGGGTTCAAAGGTTTAAAGGAGTTTTAAGACAGATTTATTTACTTATTTATCTATTTGATATGGTTATTTTCTATAGTTATGGTTTAACTAATAGGGACAGGAAATATTTGTACTGTCGGGACTATTGTAACAGCACCACTTTCCCCAAGGAGGGATGATCTATGAGTCATGTAATGCATTCACTGTATGACCCCTTCCTTACTTTGTGAAAGTGTTACAACTAACCCCAATGACAACAAAACACATTTTCTCTATGTTGTTCCTTTTCTCAGCATGCCATTAGACTTGAAAAAAACCCATAAACATAGGGGTGTAGTTGAGGCAGGGACAAACAGTAAGGTCGGTCCCCAAAGAATACTCTGTCTGCAATGTGACATTTAGAAGATACTGCAATAAATAAATAAATAAATCCAAATAATCAGACAAAGAGGATCAACACAGCTGCCCTATGTGGGCTATCACAGCAGTCAGAAAGTATTCAGTGCAGAGCAAAAGGATGTCTTGACTGGTTATTTAACTGAGGCAGCAGACTTGAATTTTGGACTCACTCCATGTGAGATACTAAGCATCTGACACATACAGGCTAGCGCGTTAGACCTTATTAGGAATTGGTTACCATTGTATGTATCAGTTTTTCCTATGTGTAATTTTTTGTAATTGCGTTATTTTTCTTTTTTTTTATCCTTATTGTTACAACTCACCTCAGGTTGTGGGGCAGGTTTTAACAGTGGAACTTCTTGCTTTTGACATTAAATCATGAATCCTGTGCTATAGTTGGAGAGATTTGCTATTTGTAGTTGAGAAATAAGGGTACTTTGGGCCAAACGTAGTTGTAGGTGCTGAGACAAAAAGTGTTACAATTATTTTCCCCTACAGTAGGGTCAAGTCACACAATATGATACACCTTTTTTAGATTAACAGGAAAACCACCTAAGTAATACTTTCAAAATTTGTTATGGGTCTTTGCTTCATTTCTACAAAGTAAATATTTTGCCAGATAAAATACTTTAAAAACTTTGGACCTCCAAACACATAAAGAACCCCAACCTCACTCCAGTGACATGTTCAGGTAGATTGGAACAGCTGGTAAGGTAAAGTGGGACAGCTGTGTTTGTCTGTTTTTCAAAATACATTAAATACATTTATCAGTTCTGTCATTAGCCTAATTTATTTAATCATTAATGTAACCTAAATATTCATTCCAACCTTTCTGCCGTGCTATTCCCATTCTTTTGCTGCCTGTCTCCTTGGTGCCATGTTGTCTACTTTGGGCATGTGTGTGTGTGCTTACATGTGTGTAACGATGATGGCTAATTCTGGACTATTGTGGCTGACATGGACTCACTATTTTTTCTTTACTCTGCCCATCAGTTTTCACAGACCAGTCAAAATGATTGTTTCATGTATAGTGCAGTAGCAACAATGCAATAACATGTTTGGTGGTTGTCTGCCAATATTTTAAGAAGCCCAGAAAAAACATCACTTGTCCCATTTTACCTGATGTCTCAATTTCCTCACTTCACCCTATGCATAGACAAACTGAAAACAGCCGTCTGAGGTATCACAGCGTTTATAGTGAATGCTAATTTGCAGCACCCATCCCTAGAAGGCCTTTTATGAAACTAAGAGATTAGAAAAATGAAGTAAAAATAAGTTAAACTGATCACAGCATGGTACAATAAAGCATGCATTAAAAACATTACATTCATTTACAAATTCACAAGGATTTAGTAGCTTCCTTAAAAGTGGTAAAGTTTGCAGCATATTTTTGAAGGGATCACATAGTAAGCTCCAGGACTTTGCTCCTTTCACAGACAAAGTTGTCTGAGCAAAAGATGTTTTGCAGAATGGAACCTTGCCAGCTGCTGTGGTTGATCTGCTAAAGCTCTATAATCTCTTGATGTAGGCTATTTGCAGAAATGCTGAGGAGCAAATCCACTTAAATATTTAAACACAAGCTAAACACTATGACAATCAATTAAGTTTGCAAAACCTAAAATCATGCATTTACTTAAAATGTGACAGTATGTACACGTGTGCAGTATATAAAATTACTCTGATTCATAATAATAGTTTGTGTTTTGTGTAGTTTAAAATTTCTTAACATTGCATCAAGGCCTACTATACAAAAATTCCAGAAACCATGAATATGCAAAAGCTTAACTGCTGGTCACAAGATGTGTCCAGGATTGGTGGTTATATCCTGTTACCCCCTGCCCACATGCCAAGGGCAAGACCCTGACTTTCCTGTTACTGATGGACAGATGAGCATCTTGCATGGTAGCTCAGTCACCATCAGAATTATATGCATTAGTTTGAAAACAGCCTTCTATGGTCTATAATATTCAGAGTCCTTGAAAAGTATTTTTAAGCATGCAAGTGCATGCCAACCTAAACTAAATTCTCCAAGTCTTTGAATGCTATGCATTTTATTTTATGCTTCACTTTGCTTTTAAAAGTTATTGTATTTTAAATATATCAGACATTGGTTTTCGAACAGTGAATTATGTGCAGAACTAATTACAAAAACAGTAATGGTAACTTGGTATTGGTGTATTTGAGAAGAGAGTCAGGGAGGCATTTATTAGGCTATAATTTCATTGTTTATTGTTAGTTTGAGAGGGAAACCATATATTGATGTTTTTCTGAAAATATGCAGTTTGATAATTGTTCCTATTGGTGTCAGTTTGCCTTCTGTTCATCATTAACTGACAGAGGTGCCCCTTTTTGGGCAAAACATTTGAAAACACCCTCTTCACTTTGCCACCAACTGTCTTATACACTAAAGTAAAATCAGTGTAGAAGAAAATGTTATGTAAGTAAGCTGCAGCCCTGTGGCTGCAACGCCCACTCTGCCCACAGGCAGAGGGAGTTTACACTGTACAAATCTATTCTCTACTCATCACATCTTCTACCAGTTACTACCTCTGGCTATATTAAAGTTGAAGAACTGAAATGTGTCTGAAAAATGGTTGAAAACTATTACAATATTCTCTAGACTCCTTATGTAAAGAAGGTTTTCCTGGCACACTCGTTATTCCACTACTGAAATTCAAATGGAAAATACTATGAATGAAATGTAAAGAAAACCAAAAGCACACAAAAATTCAATCTCTGTTGAAAATGTATTTAATTGGAATTATTCATTCATTACAGAAAAAAAGAGAAGCTTTATAAAAGGCTGTGCAGGATGCCAAAAGGTCTTTTATAGTACTGATATATAAATAGTCACTGATTTATTCTTCAAGCAAACAAGGGGGCGTGGCCGCTTGTTCATGGCAGTGCAGTGAAGTATCGTTACAGTCAATGATTACCCAGCTTTGGAAAAACACCAAATGAGATCTGAACTCTTAGATATGAATCATTCAAGTGACTTCTTTCAAAGTGAAAGTGACAACAAGTAACAGCATGCGGACAAACAGGTGAAGAGAATTTCTAGTATCAAAAGCATACAGGTATAACATGATGTAATATCTCCTTGCAACTTGTCTTTGTTTAACAACCCTTAACTTGCACCATATTGAGGAATACACACTTCAATGTTTTCATGTATAGTGTAATGTAAGAAGACACAGAAGACTTGTTAGTTATATTGGGCTGAAAAATCAAACACAAAAATGACACATGACCAGACAAGCATGGAAACAAACCCAGACAATCCTAGATGAAGTGTTTCTGTGTCAGCGTCATACGTCAGAATGCATTCTACATTTTTTTAACAAAGACATTAAGAGTTTGCTATAGCATCTCTAAACAATGATCTTAAGATCGAGTGAAAAGGAAACATGATTTTTCTCATTTACACTTTTTTTTTTTTTAAAATTTCAGAAGCAACAGCAGTAATATTGACAGTGACAATACTTCTCCTGCCTGAGCTATGGGCTAAAACAACTAATAAGATGTAGTTTAGCCTCAAGAGCCATCCTGACT